AAATGTATCTTCTAGCTCTCCAGCTTTATAATATGGGAAGGTATGTTATAAAAGGAAGTTTGTAACATATGTTTAATGCCAGTCTACCATTTTTCACCAAACAGAGGTATTAAGGGTTCTGCCTCTGTAGTCAGATTGCCTGGATTTGAACCCTGGATTTGCCTCAGACTAGCTCTCTGACCTTGATCAAATTAACATCCCTTTGCCTCAGTTTCTTCTCTCACAGAATGGATATCTATTCCATAGGGTTACTTGGGGATTAAATGAATAATGTGGTCACATTTTCATTAATTCTTACTTAGACCTCTTGTGTAGTTTGCTGGTGAGCAGTCAAGACCTGGAGTTTTTTTTTTGTCGTGATGTTTTTATTTATCACTCCATTTTAAAAACAATTTGAAATATTCAGCCTTTCTTTTTCTTCTTGTATAACTTTGATATTTGTGTTTTTCTAGGAAATTGTCTATTTCATCTAAATTTTCATAAAAATTCCTTTGCCTGTAGGATCTATAGAGATCTATATGTCACATTGCTGTTTATACTTCATCATTTTATTAGCTTCATCAAGTATTTATCAGTTTTATTAATCTTTTCAAAGAACACACTTTTGGTATTGTTGATATCTCTCTGCTGCATGTTTGTTTTTTACTTTGTGAACTTATACTCTTTGGGGACTTAATATGCCTTTTCCCTAATTATTGCAGTAGATGCTTAGCTTTCTGATTTTTAGTAATTTTACTGCATTTCATGTTCAAGTGTATTTTTATTACCATTCAGATCAAAATATTTTCTAATTACCATTGCTTTTCTTTTTTTTTTTGACACATAGAATACTTAGAAATATATTGCTTAATTCTCAAATATATTTAACTTTTTAGATGCCATTTTATTTACTTTTCATTTGTTTATGACGGGTTTTTTTTAACCTTCAAAACTTTATATTATGGGAAATGTCAAATATATATAAAATTGGAAAGAATAGTATAATAAATAGTATAATAATCACTCAGAAATATATAAGCTTCAACAGCAGTTAACTCCTGATCATCTTTGTTTCATCTCTATTTCCTCATTGTATTCCCCACCCCCCATTATTTTGAAGCAAATTTCAGATGTATCATTTTTTTCTACTAATATTTCAGTATATATGTATTCAAGGTTGTGATACAAATAATAATTACAGGGCCTCCCTGGTGGTGCTGGGGTTGAGCGCAGCGCTGTGAAACTGTCCGCAGCTTCTACAGTGTGGGTTTGATTCCCGGCCAGCCAGGGAGATACCTACATGGTGCAGCAGACCTCTTCTGTCTAACCCGCTGCTCCCTTCAGCAGTGTTTTCGGTCATCTGCCTGTTCTGCTCCCCACTCTGTCTCTGGTGAATTCTCTCACCCTCCCACACCTCTGGCCTATACCCAGTTCTTTGTATGCATAAATAAATAAATCTTTAAAAAATAATAATAATAATTACAATACCATATCATACCCGGAATAGTTCCTTCATGTCATGAAATATCTGGTCAGTTTCCAAATTTTCCCCATCATCTCTTATTTTTCTTCACAACTGAATTATTTTGAAATGGGATCTGACTAACATTGTTATTGGTGTTATGGGTGATATGTTTCGTAAGACTTTAAACCTAAAGGTTACTTCTGTGTGTCTTTTTCATTGCTTGTCATTTATTTACTTAAGAAACTGGGTTTTTTGTCTTGTGGATTTTCCCATCATACGAATTTTGCTAATTGCTCTTGATTTAATTTAATGTGTTCTCTATTCCTTGTATTTCTTACAAGTTGGTAGATACAGAGAGGCTTGATCAAATTCAGATCTGATGTTTGTTTTATTTAATTGGTTAAGGTGATGTTTTACTTTCATCAGTAATTATAGTCATGCCTGGTTATTTCTCTTTTTGATGATGAATTCATGAGACAATTGAATAATGGTGACATTTTAATTCTGTCATTCCTTATTTATTATGTGAAATACTACTATTAAGAGAAACTTACCCCCATCTTCTATTTGGATAATTTCAGTTACATTTCATATAGGAAAAACAGGTAAATACTTAAGTCTTTTGCATTTACTAGTTTTCAAATGTAATAATTGTGTCACTAGACAAGGGAGGGCACCCTCCAGCAACGCAGGCAGGTAAGTAGGGCGTGATCAACACTGTCCACTGCTCCACCCGCTGGGAATTGGAGGGATGGGCAGAGATGACACACTCCCAAGCCAGGGCATGTGATCGTGAGACCCTCTGGTCAAGACTGAAAAGAGGACTCCACAGACATCGGTGAGGGCAGGCAAGGAGTCCGCATTTATTGACTAACAAAAAAAAAAAAAAAAGCAAGAAGTGAAAACTCCAAGAAGACCTCTGGGCATGGGAGAGATTCTCTGAGGTGCCAGGGCTAGGGCCTATATAAGTTAGGAATGGGGTTTGAGAACAAAGGAATTAAACTTTATTGGCTGAGAAAGTAGGAGTGGACTTGGCTTAAGTCCACTAATTGCTGCTAGTTGTGAGCACCCAGCATGGGCATCTCAAGAAGTCTGCGTGCCTGTAGCTCCGGTGTGAACCAGTCTGGTCTCAAGGTCTGTGACTCCCTTTTTCTTTTGGGTTGTTAACTCCCTTTTCCTCATAGCAGCCAACTTGATAAGCTGTGGAAAGATAGTTTAGAAATAGTCAACAGTGAGCCAAGGAAATTTATGGAGCAAGTGTCCGGGTCTAGAATTTTCAGGTTTCTTGGACCTCTTGTTTACCAGCCCATGGGAACAGCAAAATTTTGTCCTTCAGTCCTTGTCGTGTCCTTGTCTCCTTCCTGTCTTAGTTGATTTTCTAGCATCTTTCCATGATAATGAATGAAAAATTAAAAAAAAAAATACCATTACGAATTAAATGTGTCTCACTCTATTGTGTTTATTATCTTTGATAATGCTCACAATGTCCCATCTTTGGGGGCCTCCCCAGTGGCGCAGCGGTTGAGTGCTGGGTTGCGAAGCTGCCCGCAGCCTCTCTAGCGCCGGTTCGATCCCCGGCCACCGGGCGAGGGTCCCACATGGCGCGCAGACCTCTCCTGCCACCCGCCAGTCCCCTCAGCATTGTATTTCGTCACTCTGCCTGCTCTGCTCTCCCCTCTGGCTCTGGTGAATTCTCTCACCCTCCCGCGCATCTGACTGTACCCAGTGCTTGTATAAATAAATAATCTTTAAAAAAAAAAAAAAAAAAAAACAATGTCCCATCTTTGGCCAATGGATCCTATTCAAACTGGCTCCTTAATTTTTCTAATGGCTTTCTTGTTCTTTGCATGCAGCATATTCTAGGCTCATCTTGTACAATTTCTTTCACTTCTCCAAATGGGCCTTACTTTATTTTAATAGAAAGTGGTACTTAGAGACAACAATCTAGATGTGAACGCCCTAGTAGCATTTGGTCATTATTTCTAGTCCCTTTCAGTAGTTCGATGTAGGAAATACATGTATAGTTGAAAAAGTGAAATAACTCATTAGCTTATTGTAGTGGCAGGAACGGGCACAGGGCAGGTTTTCTGATCCCATGCAGACCGGGTAAAGGAGGAGTCAGAGTCCTCAGTGGTTTTTTGCAGGTCTTTTATTGGGATTACCAGGTACACAGCAGGCAGGGGTGCTGGGGGGCCGGGAGGCTGGCAGGCCTCCCAGCCCCCATCAGGTCTTCACTCTATCTGGGCTCTCCGGCCCTCTCTGCTTCTGCTTCTTTGCTTCTCTCTCGGCTTCTGCTGCTTCTGTTGGCATCCCTGTGACGCTGCCCTTAAATGCCCAGTCTTAACCCAGGTGAATCCCATCTACCTATGCCCACACCCTACTCCAGGTGCCCGCCATCAGGCTTGCATTCAGGACTGCAAGGATCCATCATCTATCCTGATATTGGGAGGGCAGAAAAGCCTGACATTTTTCCTTACCCTACTCTTATATTATACTTTATTAAGATTCAGAGCTACAGAGTTTTGTTTAATTTTATTGAACTCCTTCCTCCTATATTAAACCCAGTTTTCATTGACACCAACAAAATTTATCTTAAAACACACAAACACATACACATGTGGGCTCAAAATAACACACCTGCCCCTGCCTAACTTTGAAATCAGCATTTACCCCTTAACTTCACAAACTGTTAAAGGTGCTCAGCTTTTTTCTTTTTAAAGCAAAATGAGATGTTTAATTTTTAAAAATATTATGATTAGCTCATGAATACATAATGAAATTGTCAGGCACTTATATTTTGTTTTCTTTGCAATGAATCAAATTTTCAAAAGCAACAAATGATTAATGCCACATATTAGAAAAGGTTAGAACAGGGCCTCCCTGGTGGCGCAGCTGTTAAGGGCTGGGTTGCAAAGCTGCCCGCAGACTCTGCAGCGCCGGTTTGATCCCCAGCCGCCGGGCGAGGGTCCCACGTGGCGCACAGACCTCTTCTGCTGCCCGCTGCACCCGTCAGCAGTGTACTTCATCAGTCTGCCTGCTCTGCTCTCCCCTCTGGTTCTGGTGGATTCTCTCACCCTCCTGCGCTTCTGACTGTGCCCAGTGCTAGTATAAATAAATAAATAAATAAATAAATCTTTTTTTTTTTTTTTTTTAAAGAAAAGGTTAGAACAATATTTTTATCCAATTTCAAGATACATTAATGTCAATAGAAACACTTATTCAGCACTATATAGCAAGGCCTTTCCTAAGTTTCTTTTTTTTTTGAAATTGGCAAGTGTCCCCACAAGATCAATGATTGTTGCTAATGCCTTCCTCACCTCTAAATTTATCTCCCTTTTGTGCTATTAGACTGGTAAATCTTCACTCTCTTCATTGCTCTCTGATGCCTTCTAGTAGTGTTTTAAAATACTTTGTCTATCTTTTTTACTTGTGCTCAGGGAGATATTGATTTGAATTATCTAACCTGCCATTATTGGAATGAAAACCCCTTTACAACTTAATCTTTGAACTCTGAATTCTATATAATATGACCATAATTTTTGGTTTTATTTCAAAGGTTCTGAAGCAAAAACACTTGGATGATCGTCTGCGACACATATCTGTAAGAAGATTTGAATCATTTAATCTGTTTTCAGTAACAGATGCCAAAAAAAGGGAAACTGAAGAGGAAGTTGGTGCATGGGTCCAATATACCAGTGTCTTCTATCCTGAATACAGTATCTCTTTAAGGTGAAGTTCATTCTAGTTGAGATTTTTTAAAAAAGTATTTGTCCGCTGTAGAATAGAATCTCATTATCCAGTCTGTTGAGTTTGCAGGCAATCTTTATCAGAAGTTAGGTTTTGCAACTTTGTGTTAGGCAATCTGCTGCTTTAACTGGGTCTTGCTATATTCTCAGAACTAAAGAAAAAAAATTCTCAGGAATGTAGTGGCATTTGAGGATAAAGTGGGTTGTGAATCAAAGGGTTCATTTAACCATTCTCTCATAGCATTTGATCATGACAAAAAGCCAAGTTCTTTTTGAGGCAAAGAAAGCTGGACATGAAAATAGAATTTTTCCAAACTACACTTCAAGTAGTAGTTATTTGAAAAATCAAGCTTTGGTATTTTTCCCATTCATGTTTTGTCACTTTCAGAATAGAATCTTAAGAATAGAAGGAGAAAATTCGGCTGAAAACACTGGTATTGTGAGAAACATACAGACTGCTCTGGCTTTAAAAGTCGTTAGAAAAGAGACAAGAGAGTTTCAAACTGAAGTAACAAGATACCATTTTTACTGAATTAATTTTCTCCTACAGTTATAGTCTAGCATGTTGCAATATTACTGTAGGTGTTTGATTTTATAAAATCTGCCTTTTTTGACAAGATTTCACATTTTGAAAGGGAGGGAGGAGCACATTTACAGTTTCTGTAAGAAGAGCAAAAAACATTTTAAGTGGAAATGTGACTGAATAAGGTTTAGGTGAGGCTAGGAATAATTTTAAGGAAAAAAGTTTTCACAAAGGATGTCTATTTATAGTGTGTGTTTCTAGAACTATTTTAGTTTAAAAATCTAAGCTTTAAAAGATACCGTAATAGCTAAAAAATTGGGATTTGGATAAAAATTGACTAGAGTGGGTAAGGAAGAACAATTAGGATCTGGTTTTATAATGCTGCTTTATTGAAAACTCCAAGTAGAAGATAAAAACTTAAGGATTTGTGAGGCTTGCCTATGCATTCATTGTGAAATTCTAATCAGAATCAGCTGCTTCTCATTCTGATAGTGATAATAGTTTAGTTCTTAGGCAGAGAAGAAAAATGCATTAAATGCTTATTATGTGCCAGGTGAGGTGTTTTGTATTTTAATTCATGCAGTCCTCAGAGAACTCTGCAAAGTAAGAATAAAGATGATTAAACAATTGAAAGATAACATCTGTGAGGAAAGGAAAGAAAAGGAGAAACAGAATGATCTAGTAGAGTTCTTTAGATGTAAGTTCTAAAACTTCTACATCCATTGGTGACAAGAGGCAATAAGAGTAAAATGTATCAACAGTAATTTCTTGATATCTTCTCTCCCTGGTAAGGGTTAGTTGGAGAGAATGTGAAATCTTTTATCTCCTGTTCTTGAGAGCTTTAGAAATGACGGTTGAAATGGCCCTCATGTAGCAAGAGCCCTGGCTAGAAACTAAATTGAGACTCATTTTTGGAAGTATATGTCTTTGAAGTCTAATTTATGGCGAGAAGACAGGTGACTGTGCTAACTTCTTAGTCACAATGTCTTTCAAGACTTTTCCTCTTTTCTCGTACTAGTTAAGTATCATCCACTTTAGTAGTACAAAAAATAGCAATAGCTTAAACAAACTTATAATGTTTAAATTCATCCATGTCATAGCATGTATCAGTATTTCACTCCTTTTTATGACCAAATAATATTCCATTTTATGGATAATACTTGTAGGGTAAGGAAAAAGTATCAGGCTTTTCTGCCCTCCTGCCATTAGGATAGATGACGGACCCTGTGGTCCTGAATGCATGCCTGATGGCGGGCCCTGGAGTAGGGTGTGGGCATAGGTAGATGGGATTCACCTGGGCTAAGACTGGGCTTTTAAAGGCGGTGTCACGGGGACGCCAGCAGAAGCAAAGAAAAAGCCAAGAACGAATGGAAGCCGAGAAGCGGGAAAGCAGGAGAGCAGAGAAGCAGAGAGAACACGAGAGAAGGCCGGAGAGCCCAGATGGAGTGAAGACTTGCTGGGGGATGGGAGGCCTGCCAGCCTCCCGGCCTCCCCGCCCCACTGCCTGCTGTGTGCCTGGTAAATCCCAATAGAAGCCTGCAAAAGCCGCTGGGGGCTCCTTTACCTGGTCTGCTGGATCAGAAAACCTGCACTGAGGGCCTCCCCTGGTGGTGCAGCGGTTGAGCGCTGGGTTGCGAGGCTGCCTGCAGCCTCTGCAGTGCCAGCTTGATCCCCGGCCACCAGCGAGGGTCCCACAAAAAAAAAAAAAGAAAACCTGCACTGTGGTCTTCCTGTCCTACAATACTCCATTTTGTTTTATCCATTCATCAGTTGCTGGGCATTTAGGTTGTTTTCACTTCTTAACTATTATGAGTAATACTACAGTAAACATTCATGTGTACGTTTTTGTGTGAAAATCTCAATTTTTAAGTCTCTTAAGTATGTATCTAGGAGTGAAATTACTGGATCATGTGGTAACTAACTTTTTGAAGGATGGCTAAGTTTTCATAGTGGTTGTACCATTTTATATTCCAACCAGGAATGTATGAGGGTTTCATTTATTCTTCATTGGTTATTTTTCTATTCTTGTTATTAATTATAGTCTAGTGGGTATGAATTATACCAGATTTGATTTCTACTCCTTTAATTATGAATAATATGTTCCATTCTTTTATGTGCTCTTATTGGCCACTTGTGTATCTTCTCTGGAGATATATCTAGTCAAGTCCTTTGCCTATTTTTTTTTTTTTTTAAAGATTTATTTATTTATTTATGCAAGCACTGGGTACAGTCAGAAGTGCGGGAGGGTGAGAGAATTCACTAGAGCCAGAGGGGGGAGCAGAGCAGGCAGAAGGACCGAAGTACACTGCTAAGGGGAGCAGCGGGCGGCAGGAGAGGTCTGCGCACCAATGTGGGACCCTCCTCTGGTGGCCGGGAGCAGCTGGGGATTGAACCGGCGATGCAGAGGCTGTGGGCAGCTTCGCAACCCAGCGCTCAACCGCTGTGTATTTGATGAAGTTCAATTTACTATTTTTTCTTTTACCGTTTTGTGTTTTGGTGTCATATTTAGTGCTGGCTAGTTACTTTTTACCTCTAGTTTCAACCTCTTGATGCCATTAGGTTTCGAATTTTTCCTATAATAGTTTTTCCCCCTTCCTCAAATAGTTATCTTCCCCAATTACACAATCTTTACCCTGAGGCCATTTTGGCTGAGAAACTCAAAGATTCTCAGTTTTAAGATAATGCTAGATGCTTATGGAAAAAAATGGTTTGCTTTGAGAAGACAACACTGCCTATTGGTAATTTTCTTTTCCATCTTTATTGAGATATAATTGACATCTCACAAGATGTAGGTTGTGCAGCGTATTCATTTGATGCAATTAAATGTTGTAAAATGATTATCACCATAGCATTAGCTAACACCTCTATCATATCACATAATTACCATTTCTTTTTTGTGGTGAGAACATTTAAAATGGTTATTGGTAATTAAAAACATGGGAAACAAAGCTGTGGAGTTAGGACAGAGAAGTCAATTTTTTATACCCTGACTATGTTGGCAAAAAATTGTTAAATACTGTAATTAGCAGTATAATGTTAAAAGTGGAGTTTGATATGCCCCCTTCCTTGTAGGTATTACTAACCAGCCACATTATCCAGGTAGCACATAGGTAAATAGTTGAAAGATTAAGGGTAGATGAGATCTTATAGAGTTGACATTGAATAAAGTAGATGACTTAGTGATCAACGAATAGTCTTTGTGTTTGAGGCAGTGAAAGGGAACTTGGAGAAAATCAAATGGAATCTTACCATTTTGTGCTCATTGAATTTTTTCTTATTCTCATGCTATTGAAGACAATGATTGTTGACAATACATGAGATGCCATGTTGATATCAGATGCTATGTTTTAGGATTTCTAGACTTCTTGGGTAATTGATTTCATATTTGTCACTTAGAGGTATTGGAATAGCTTTACTGTTTCCCTACCACCTACCCCACTTAAAAATGCCATAGGGTACACTTTCTCTTTCTTGGCTTCAAGATATAATGCTTTCAAGAAGAGACAAGTTTCTGCTTCAGTGATAACTGCAATATCGCAATATAACATTTTTTATTTCGAATAATGCTTTTAACTTTTAAACATGCATTTTACTTCAATTATCCCAGTCTGTTTTTTAGAAATATTTCATTTTGCAAAATACATACATCCTTTTTCTACTCCAGTCTCAGATTTCATTTGAAATGTTTATTTCATCATGCATTGAGAGTGACAGTGTGTGTGTGTGTGTGTGCATGTGCAGGTGCATATGTGCACATAAGAGAGAGAGGGGGAGAGAGAGAGACATGAGAGGATGTCATTATTAAAACTAAGCCATAAAGCAATTTAACTTTTAAGATTTATCCTAAGGAAATAATCAGAAATGGACTCAATGATAGTTCTACAAGAATATCCATTGCAAGACTATGCAAAATAATACAAAACTAGGCACAATCTAAAAATCCAACATAAGGTGTTTTTTCAGGATATTATGGTATAAGCAACCATTCTTTGAACTACTTGGTAGCCATTCAAATCATATTGCAGGAGAATGCTTGAAGTGGGAAACCATTTATAACACATTAAATATAAAACCACAAATTGCAAAACAGTAAGGCACTGTCCTCTCAGTTATTTAATGAAAGGTAAGTGAGCATGGAATAAAATTTGAAGGCTGTGTTTCAAAATATTAACTGTGGGTTTCTTTACATAATAAGATCATTAGTATTTTTTTCTTTAAGGAACCATGTTTTGTTTTTATATTTAAGTAGAAGATTTTTGAGTTCTTTGTTGTATTGCTGATCATTTTAATAGGTTCCCCTTGCAATTACTGTCAAATACTTCA